CCGGTGCCCGGTTAACTAGCGGGAAGGGAGGAAAGGCGTACACAACTAAGTGGGTCCACGGGGCTAGCAAAGCGACCCGGGCCCAGGCTCCTGGAGTCAGCAGGAGTGTTACGTACGTCCGGAGCTTTGCATTCCGGGGTGCGGCAAAACGGTCCAACCTTGGGCCGTCCCACGGCCGAAACAGCCTAGAGGCTACCCACTGGGGTATCAGCTACTCCGTGTTCTGGAGACAGAGCCGCCCTGAAAGGGCATCGCCAGACTGTTCCTCACCCCTGTAAGGTGGTGTGCGGATAGCTCCACATTGTATGTATTCCAGGCACCAAAAGAAGATTTTGCTCCGCTAGGACTGACGATGGGGAATGCGTCCCCCCCCCCTCCTTGAAGGAGCCCACCGCTGTGTTGCCTGTGCCAAGCAGAACTCTGTGGTCTCGAACTACGGGTAGAAAGCGTGGTAGTGCTAAGTACACTGCTCTCAGTTCGAGCCGGTTGATATGGTAGTCCTGAAACTAATGGGGGGCCATATCCTTGGGCTTGTTGGCCCAATAGATGCGCTCCCCAACCCTAGGGGGAGGTATCTGTTACCAGAGTCATACCTACGGCGAGCGGGCCCAAGGGGCTCCCCTGTCCGAGGTTGGCCAGTGACGACCACCAGGGCAGGGCTTCCTTCACTTGGTTGAGATTGAAACCCGCCTATCTAGTTCCCATAGGAGAGCTTGGCGTTATAATAAGCGTTATACCGAGCGGCTGCGTAGTGCGGCCTGGGGAACGACCCTTCGAACCGAGGTCATCATTTTGATGATCCGTATTAGTTCATGGAGGGACACCGAGGGGACGCTGACTAGGCATTCAGCTAGGCTGCTTAGCGCTAAGCAATACGCTTGAAATAGCTAAGCCAAGCTTACCTCTGTGTCAAAACTCCATGCCCAGGGACACCAACTGTACGTTGGGTCGAGGTGGGACTTGTCGATTTACTTATGAGCCCAACTGGTGAAGTAAATCCTGTGTTAGCCTGACGCATTTGGCTATTACCCCTTGCCCGGGTTGTTGGTAACCGGAAGTCTGGGTACGGATTGAGGTGTACCGACATCTGGTGAAGCAGCAGCACTACCTGTTTCATCACTCTGGTGAACATGTAAGGCGCTGTGCCTAACCCGAACGGGGAGCACTCGAAATTTGAATACTTGGCCCAGCTGGGCGATTCGAAGGAGATGGCAACTCGCTGGGTGCATCGGTACGTGCAGGTAGGCCCCGCTTACGTCTAGTGGGGCTAGCCAGTCAAAACGGTGGATGGAGAGAAGAACCTTGAATGGTGTCTCCATGTGGGACCGGTCGAGGAGCACGTACTGATTCAGTCTGCCTAGGTCCAAAACTGGACGCCTGCCACTTGTAGATTTGGTACTACAACACATTTGGGTAGAAGCCTGGCCTTAGTTCCGGCTGATGTACCCTGTGTATGGCGTCTTTCCCCAGCAAACTGCTACTTCCTGTCTGATTGCTTCCGCCTTGTGGGAGTACCCTGGCAGTGCCCAACAGGGGGGACACTGATGGGGGGAAATGGAGGTTTCAGCGGTATCCCGTAAACGGATGTGACCACCTGGAAAGGTCCAGGGATCGGTCACCCACCGTCTCCAAACCGGACTACACCGGTGCAATCTGTGTATGACAGGGATAAGTGGCCATGTGTTCGGCAGTTGCGAGAGGGAGGGGGGGGGCTCCCTTCCCCCATGAGGTGAGTTCCCCAAGGCCTGAAGTAAGTTGTGGCCTGGCCATTCACCGAACACGTCTTCAATTGGCAAAGACACCCATGGAACGCAGCTATCCCCAGGTTTGCCAAATTTGTGTACCGGGGTCTGGGGAAGGAGCCTTGGAATCCGGTTGGGGGCGTTTTGGTCTCATCCCACGCTATGGGGTCTGATCCTGAAACCACACCGACCGGGTAGCGTTTGGTCTAGTGGGAAGTGTTGCCTAATGTTATCCCCACCCAGGGGCCTTAAGCATTACATCCTCCGCGGCTGACCAATGCCACCCATCAACACCGTTTGCGTGCTCTGCGCCCCACTCCGCACTCAGGCGGACAGGGAGAGACTTGCCGATGGGGTTGCTTTGGATCCCGACGCCTGTGATCCCATAAGCGTTGGAGCAACTTTAAGTGGTCGCTTTAGGATCAAGGGTGGGGGTATATACATTGTATCACTGGGATCGACGATACTCCGCCTCACCCCAAAAGCGTGGCTCACCGAGTCAT